TTGAACTCCTGACCTCAAGTGATCTGCCTGCCTCGGCCTCCCAAAGTGCTGGGATTACAGGTGTGGGCCACTGACCCAGCCCAGGGCTTGAGTTTTAAAGGTGTCACAGTACACCTTGGTTCTCTTTTTTTTATAAACAAGAATCTATCTTCCTGACCTGAGTATTATCTCTATGTGGGAACAAAGGAGAGAGCGCTGGACTCTGCAGAGTGAAGGGAAAACAGCAAAAAATCCAGATGGGAGGGAACGGATCAAAGGTGTGAACACAGGTAAGAGCTCAGATGGGCAGAGTAGAAGCTGTATGATTTTTTTTTTTTTTTTTTTTTGAGACAGGGTCTTGCTCTGTTAGCCAGGTTGGAGTGCAGTGGCAATCATAGCTCACTGCAGCCTGGAACTCTTGGACTCAAGTCATCCTCCTTCCTCTGCCTCCCAAACTGGTGAGATTACAGGTGTGAGCCATTGCACCCTGCAAAGCCACACTAATAAACAGTGCTTGGGAAACTCTGCAACTGGGAGAATTCTGTGGAAGACCAATAGTATAAATCCTGTTTCTTTGTGTGTTGTTTTTGTTTTTTCTGAGACAGTCTCACTCTGTTGCCCAGGCTAGAGCACCGTGGCACAATCTTGGCTCACTGCAACCTCTGCCTCACAGTTTCAAGCTAGTCTCCTGCCTCAGCCCCCTGAGTAGCTGGGATTACTGGTGCCTGCCACCATCCTTGGCTAATTTTTGTATTTTGAGTAGAGATGGGGTTTCACCAAGTTGGCCAGGCTGGTCTTGAACTCCTGTCCTCAGTTGATCCGCCTGCCTCAGCCTCCCAAAGTGCTGGGGTTACAGGTGTGAGCCACTGTGCCTGGCCTAAATCCTGTTAGTTTTGAATGGAAATTTTCTTTTTTTTTTTTTTTTCTGGGACAGGTTCTTGCTCCGAGACAATGGCAAGTACAAACTAGGTTTACTGTAAATATGATAAAGGGAAAAAATGCTTTTACTGTATTAGAAGACTTGAAATCGCATGAAGGGATTCCAGTCTTTTGTTGTTGTTGTTTTAGCTATTTTAAGTGTTTCGGTTTGTTTGTCTTTCTACATAACTGCTAACCTTGTTAGTATCTGCAGAATGCCTTAATTAGGAAAGCTATTAACCCTATGGGTCAGGTTTGTGTAATTTCGTATTGTTTTATATGGAGTCTTCGAATAAATGTATGTGGTATATGTCTCTATATGCTGTCTTTGATTTCTTTCATCAGCGTTTGGTAATTGTAACATAACAGTTCTATGAATGTTTGACATGTATTTCTTTGACCTTTTTTTTAATGGAGCAATCATACATAGTATTTTATTTTTAATATCAGGTTTCATGTGTAAATTCCTAGTGTATAGAAATATACAAGATTATTATTATTATTATGAGACAGGATCTTACTCTGTCATCCAGGCTGGAGTGCAGTAGAGCAGTCTCAGCTACTGCAACCTCTATCCTGCAGGCTTAAGTCATCCTCCCACCTCAGCTTCCCGAGTAGCTGGTACTGCAGGCATGGGCCACCATGGCCTGTTAAATTTTTGGGTTTTGTAGTGGGTTTCACCACGTTACCCAGCTGGTCTCAAACTCCTGAGCTCGAGTGATGTGCCCACCTTGGCCTCCCAAAGTGCTGGGATTACAGGCATAAGCCACCATGCCTGGCTGATGAAATATACGATATTTTTGTAGGTTGATCTTATACTTTGCTACCTTTATATTTTTCTTGTTCTAGAGATTTTTGTAGATTTTTTTTTGGAATTTTCTACATAAAATCATTTCATCAGTTTCCTATTGCTATACACAGCACTTGGCTTAAAACAACAAAAATTTATTCTTTTGCAATTCTGTAAGTCACATATCTAATATGGGTCCACAGTTCTGTGACTCTTCATGAATCTCCAGGGGAGAATTTGTTTCCTTACCTTCTGTAGGTTCCAGAGGCCACTTACACCCTTTGACTCATGGTCCACTTCCTCCATCTTTAAAGGCGAGAAAAAAATCTCTTTATCCCTCTATTTTCAACACGTCACCACTGTCTCTGTCCCTCGGTGTCCACCTGCACCCTTCTGATATTGAACCTTGTGATTCTATCTATAATTCAGGATAATGTCTTATCTAAAGATTCTTAACTAGACCACATTTGCAAACTCCCTTTTGACATGTCCAGTAACACATGTTACAGGGATGAAGATACCTTCCTTTGGGGAAGGTATTAGCCTGCACAACCATCGTATTTTCTGTTGGTACACTATTTTTTCTCCTGTCCTCAGGCCACCCTCCTTCCCCAGCCTCCCAAAGCACTGTGATTACAGGCCTCGGACACCACATCCAGTCTGTCACTTTTATTTCATTTTCCTTTATTTCACTGGCTGGAACCTTTGATATTGTGTGGAACAGTAGTGATGAGAGGAGACATCCTTACCATCATCCCAACCTCTGGGGGAAACTATGCTTTCCCCAGTATGCATGATGATTCTTTAAGGGTTGATAGGTGATCTTGAGTTGAGGAAGTTTCCCATGATACTGTTTTCCATATTGACTGCAGTATTTCAGATTCCCACAACATGTACCAAGATAGTTTCTCCACATCCTTGCTTGTGAAGCAGGTTCACTGCACACTGGTTGCCAGTGTGTCTGAGTTGAGTGAGAGATAATCTCACGCAAACACAGTAAGTTACATGAAGTGGATTTGTTACATACAGATCGGCAGATGCCTGGGATTCATGTGTTCTGCTCCCCAAGGCTCAGGAAAAACACCCAGTGCAGATGCAGTCTCTCTGTGTGTTCAGCTTGCATCACAACTTGCATCACAGTTGCGGGAGGCTGGAAGGCAGCCCATCCTGGGTTTCATGCTCCAGGGATGCATGGCACATTGGCCTAAAGCAACAAAGGGCATCCTGTTCTGGGGGTCTGGAACACATCCTGTCCTTTTCTCACTGCTCCCTTCCTCTCAGGATGTTGCTTTTCCAGCACATTCTATATTAATTCTTGGGAACTACAAGTGAGAAGTCAGATGCAACTCGGCCAATTCAACCCCACTTGAATGCTTTCGTGCAGTCTCTCCGCCAATCCAGATACCCTTTTATTTTTATATTTTTTGAGACAGCGTCTCGCTGTATCTCCCAGGCTGGAGTGCAGTGATGCAATCTTGGCTTACTGCACCTCCACCTCCTGGATTCAAGCAATTCTTGTGTCTCAGCCTCTCGAGTAGCTGGGACTACAGGCGTGTGCCACCATCCCTGGCTTTTATATATATATATATATATACATATTTCGTATTTTTAGTAGAGACGCGGTTTCACCATGTTGGCCAGGCTGGTCTCTAACTCCCGACCTCAGGTGATCTGCCCACCTCGGCCTCCCAAAGTGTTGGGATTACAGGCATGAGCCACCACGCCTGGCCCAGATATCCCCTTTAATAAAGCTAGTCCACTGACCTCCCTGGATCTGGAGGTAGAGGCTGGTCTCAGGAGATTGAAGTAATACCTTGACTGGCAGAATCTCAGGGCAACATCATTGAGGTACAGCCAGTTGCATTTCACTAGGCTCAAGAGGATTGCTGCCTCCAGCAGGATAACCAGGCCTGCCTGGAGCAGTGCCATAGTCCAGGATCCCAGTGACCGAGGTGAGAAGTTGGTACTCAGATCAAAGAAAAGTTCTTCAGGTGACCCCACTGTCTGCAGCCAATGGGCCTGCTTGTGGGTCTTAGGTATTTGTGTTTCAAAAATAACCTGAGGTCCTGATGTGGGATCCTTATCTCCCATGCAAGGTGACTCATGCCTATAATCCCAGCACTTCGGGAGGAGCAGATGGGAAGATTGCTTGAGGCTAGAAGCTGGAGACCAGCCTGGGCAACAAAGCCAGACCTACATCTCTATTAAAAACAAACACAGAAAATTAGCACAGTGGAGAGGCAAGGCCTTTACTCCCAGCTACTTGCGAGGTTGAGATGGGAGGTGCCCGGGACCCCAGGAAGTCAAGGTTTCAGTGAGCTATGATTGTGCCACTGCATTCCAGCCTGGGTGGCAGAGACCCTGTCTTAACATTTTAAAAAGCATTAAAAAACTAAGTTGGGCCGGCCATGGTGGCTACTCTGGAGGCTGGGCCAGGAGAATCACTTGAACCGAGGAGGCAAAGGTTACAGTGAGCTGAGTGCGTGCCACTGTACTCCAGCCTGGGCGACAGAGGGGAAACTCTGTCTCAAAACAACACCAACAACAAAAACTAAGTTGTTAACGACTATTTTTAAAAGTTATTGTTTCTTTCTTTTTTTTTTTTTTAAAGAAACAGCTGGTAACTTCTCTTTACACAGGCCTTAGTCCTCCATGCCCAACATGATGTCCCAAGGAAAGTCTCTGGAATTGAGCACAGGGTTGACCTTCACCTTCTAGAGTGAATGAGGAAGATAAATGAAAAGTATATATCTTCTATGGGACATTGGCATGAAACAGAACATTCTACCCTGGCAGGGTTTTGCATTTCACATTTTAGCTTGCATCCCCTTCACAGACAATTCCAAAGTGTGTTAATTCAATTCCTAAAGCTTCCCTTCCCTTCCTCCCTTCCCCTTCCTCCTTACTTTTCTTTCTTGTCCATTTATTTTCGTGTTTTCCCTCTTTCTTTCTTGGTTTTCTCTTTTTTAACTTCTCTTTGTTTTCTCTTTCTCTCTCTTTACTCTCTCTCTTCTCTCTCTTTCTGCTTCCAGGGTAGGTGGGACTTGAAATTCATTTTAATAGAAAGAATTTGCGTGGATATAATCAACAACCGATTTTGCTCTGCGCAGGCAAGATCCGTTTTCAGATCTCTAAGCGGATCTTGCCTCCAAAACCCTGAAAACAAGCGCGGCCAGTCAGGCAAACAGAAGCGCAGGCCCCGCCCAGGCCTTGTCCCGGTCCGCCGTGGTCCCAGCCAGTCCGGCCTCTAGGATGCGCGCGCAATTTCCCGCAAACCCGGAAGCGGACCGTTGGGGGTGAATGCCTAGAGCACAGTTTCCGGTAGACCCGGAAGCCGATCGCATGGAGGAACTGTTTCGTAGCAGCGCGTGAGTTTCCTTTTGTCTATATTAAGTCTAGGCTACCCCGTTCTTCTGCGCTTCTATACCCGGAATCTTAGGGGCGTGCAGACCTTGAAATCGCGGCACTGCTTCCCCCATCCCAAGTAAATTCAGACGTCCTTTGAGAGTCTGGGAGTCGCTTTGTGCGTGTTAAAATCGCTTGGAGGCTGGTCCTGTGCCCGGTCTTTTTGTCATATGCCCACGTAGACACCTCCTATCGTGGGCTTTTCCTGCTTCAAGTCCTTTAGTAACCCCTACACACGCCCCCCACCATGTAAAATCCTCACTGTCCGTTCCCCCAGCCTCACCCTTCTTGCCCGCTGGAGCTCAGCGCCCCAACGGGGCACGAGAGGCCGCGTCCTCTGCCCGGACCTGGTTTCTACAGACTCCACCCCTCTTCTGACCCACTCCTGCCTTTTTCCTCCTTAATCTGGACCCTCTGTTCTCCAGGCCTCCCTTTCCCAGCCACTGGTTCTCCTGACCCCGAATGTGGGGAGTGACTTCAGTCTCCTGACATCCAGTGTTCTCTCGAGCCAGCTTCCAGCCCACCGAAAATGAGCTTTTCCGGAGATGGGCATCTTATTCCAATCCCCTCCCTGTGAATGTGTGGAGAAGAAGAGATGGGAACGAGTCAGAGGAAATAGAGAAATTTTGAAAGAGAAATGAAGAATGAGAGAACCATTGACAGACGGCAAAGTAGAAGGTGAGTGAGGGGTTCGCGGCGACACAGTGAAAGAAGGTGCCGAGAAAAAAGCAGGGGGAGAAAAGTAACTAAAAAGATAGACAAACCTGGGTCTGTAGAAAGATGAAGTTCAACAAGATAGGGAAGGCTTCTCAGACAGAGAGTGGGGGAGAGGAGGAGGGATTTGGAGCCAGGTCAGATAGAGCAGCGTGGCGCTGGGACAGCCAGAGCGGGCAGCTGGTCACAAGGAGAACAGAGGGAGAACCACAGCAGGGGGAGGCCTGGGATCTGAGGGTGCCAAAGAGTGGGGACAGGGTTGTGTAACATCGAAGATTGAATTTAACAGGGAGAGCCCAAGGGGAGCCAAAATGTGGGAGGAAAGAGGCAGAAATATATGGAGATTAGGGAGTGAAAGATTGGGCAGAAAGAGGAATCAAGAGGTGAAACAAGTTGTAAAAATGGATCAGAACAGGCGGGAGAGAAAGAATAGAAAGAAGAATGGGACAAAGAGAAGAGGAGGGACTCAAGATGAACACAATCCTAGGGAAAAATAAAGAGGAAAAAAACAGCTAGGGAAAAAAGATGAGAATGAGAGATATGTACAGAATGAGGGAGGGAAACAGTAGTGAGGAAAGGGGGACACTGGTTACAGATGAGTGGTGAGTTGATTGGAAATTATGATTGAATTGTGACGTATTAATTTCTCTATAATATAAAATGTGTTTAAAATACATGAGGCTAGGGGCTGTGTACGTGTAATACCAGTACTTTGGGAGGCTGAGGTGGGCAGATCACTTGAGGTCAGGAGTTGAGTGAGACCAGTCTGGCCAACATGGTGAAACCCTGTCTCTAGTAAAAATACAAAAATTAGCTGGGCCTGGTGGCCTGGGCCTGTAATCCCAGCTACTCAGGAGGCTGAGGCAGGAGAATTGCTTAATTCTGGGAAGCAGAGGTTGCAGTGAGCTGAGATTGCGTCACTGCACTCCAGGTTAGGTGACAGAGCAAGACTCCATCTCAAAAAAAAAAAAAAAAAAAAAAACCACAGATGAAGATGAGAATTGGAACACTATTTCTAAGGCATGTGCGTTTTATAATTCCTGGCATCAGAGGTTAGCTTCCGCTTGTAATCTGTATTCTGCTAGGGGGCGGTGACTTGGCTCATTCAGGTGTGGTTCACTCTCTTCTCTTTTCTTTGGATGGACTAGGGCGTGAGGGAGTGTATAAGATAGGAAAAACTAAAGTGGTTTTTGTGCTCACAGTGAATACAATACAGAGCACGGCACCCAGAATGCCTCATCTCTGCTCACCAAAATCATATGGGAATTACTTGTCACCAACAAGCAATTCTTCATCAGACAGCACCTGGGTGTTCTGTTATTTTACTCAGTTTAACTGGTTAGTGTAGGAACAGTCACACACACATTTTGATCACTAGAGGTGAGGTATTCTCTTGGGTGTGAGAGTAGTAAAAACTGTGGTTTTTTTCCTGTCTCAAACAGTAAGAGCAAGAATTTTCCAATAGGCCCACCCACCTGTCTCTAGGACTGTGTTCTTACTCAGTAGTGACTGGGAATTGTCTGTCCCTGCTCCTGGCTGCTGCTGACGCTGAGACTGTGTGCCAGAGGCCAGCCCCATTAACACTGTCCTGATGCCATGGCACCCCTCCTCCACAGTGTCATCAATTTTTACTTCAAGGGAATTATTTTGGTCATTGTACCCAGATGGAGCTGTTGCCCATTAAAACACACACACATACCTTTATTTTTCCCACTATTTCATCCTCAAAAGAAAAAACAAAGTATTAGCTACATTTTTACTTGCAGTAAGTCTGCCTTCTCTGTGCTCCATGTAAGAGCACAATATTCCAAAATCTTGTTTAAGCTGTCTCTCAGTCTTTCCTCCACTTCTTGCTTGACCGCATCCAATCAGGTTTTGACATCAACCACTCCTCTGCTCCTTTTTTTATCTGAGTCACCAGTGACTTCTCTGTTTCTAAATCTAGTTATTTTTTCATTTAATTTTTAGAGACAAAGTCTTGCTCTGTCACCCAAGCTGGCATGCAGTGGCACAGTCATAGTTCACCATAACCTTAAACCCCTGGGCTCTAGCAATCCTCCCATCTCAGCCTCTGGAGTAGAAGGACTATGGGCCTGTCCCTCTACCTGGCTGATTAAAAAATTTTTTTTAGAGACAGAGTCTCACTACATTGCCCAGGCTGGTCTTGAACTTCTGACTTCTAGCCATCCTGCAAACAAGTCCCAGCGTGCTGGGATTAGAGGCATGAGCCCCTGTACCCTGCTTAAATCCGACTTTGAATTTTCCGTCCTCATCTGTCTTTTTCTGTCAGCAGCATGTTTCACAGCTGATCACTCTGTTTTTTCTCAGCTTTGAAGACACTGCTCATATTTTTAAAAATCTGTTTAAAATTTTTCTCATCACTGTAGTATCTTACCAGTTACCTCTGCTGGTGTCTTCTGAAGTGTCTTCTCTGAATATGGAAATGTCACCCAGTTTAGTCGTTAAACCTGTTGTCTGCCCACACCCTCTGCTTTTCCTTTTGATCTCATCTATGGCTTTAAACACCACCACCATGTCTCCATTTTCCCTCACCACCCACCCCGGTCCCCTGAATTCCAAAATCCTGTATCCAGTGGTGTTCTCAACATCTCTGCTGGGGCATCCACAGGGATCTCCACCTCTACGTGTCCAAAAGAGACCTCCTGAACTCCCTCAAACGTGTTCTCCCTACAGTGCTGCGTAGCTCAGATGACGGATGCCTTGTACTTTCTGGGGGTTAACTAAACCTGTCAAAATGTGCTTAAAATATATGAGATACTATTTGTGTTTTAATTTCTAAGGTAAAGAATAAATGACATGTTTACTTAAAATGAGTGAGGAAATAGATTGTTTCAAAATTTCTTTTGATGTGTGGGAGAAAATATTTGAAGAGCTCAACCCTGCCTGATCTGCTTCCCCAGGACCTCTCTGACCTCATCTCCTGCCTCTGTTCTTCCCGCTCCCTCTACTGCAACTAGGCAGCCCCCTTTCCTTTTCCGAGAGCGTTTTGTATTTTTAAAATAAGTGCTTGATCGAAGTATGATTTTAGGAATCACACAGTTTATTGCCACATGAAGAATTTATTTTTATTTTTATTTTTAAATTTTTTTTTTTAGGTTCACAAATTTTAAGAAAGGGAGAATAAAGTGGAGAAATCTCAGAGGGAATCCACTCAACAGATGAGGTACCTTAACTACATGGTGGGTGAATTCCAAAATGGTTAACATCTGTTTGCTGAGTTAGGCTAAATCAGGCCTATGTAGAAAGTCACAGTTTGAGGATTACCTCAGGGGGAGGTCTTCCCTTTTTGTGTAGCTATGACACAGGAAGGATGTATGTTGATTCTAAGCCCTAAACAGCGTATTTTGGCATTCAGGATTCACTTCCAAAGAGACATATTATGCAAGGAAGCAACTCGGAAAACGAAAGAGAAGGAGTCAGGAATGGCCCTTACTCAGGTAAGGTAATATTCTCAGTGGATTGTTCTGTCTCTGTTTCTTCCTAAAATGCCAGGCCTTGGAGTTGCTAATCTTTGACTCTGAAGCATCCTGCCTGACACGTTTGCTGGCACTTACCCATGGCTTCTTCCAGTCCTTCATTTCCGCTTGAGATTTCAGTTCACTGTGACCCAGTGACACGAACTTGGAAAGAGCCTGCACTGGGCATGGTCCTGGGAAGGGCTCACACTCAGACATGGATGGATATGGGGTATGGGTCCCATGGTGTCAGTGCTGCTGGGCAGCGGGATTGTTAAGGGATCACATCTGGATGCACTGTCAGTGTTCTGTGGACTAGAATTAGAGAAGCTGCGTGTCATAGTTCCAAGTTCCTTTCTTTCGTTTTTCTTTTTTTTTTTTTGAGACAGAGTCTTGCTTTGTTGCCCAGACTGGAGTGCAGTGGCATGATCCCTGCTCATTGCAACCTCCGCCTCCCAGGTTCAAAGGTTTCTTCCACCTCAGCCTCTCGTGTAGCTGGGATTACAGGTGTGCACCACCACTCCAGTCTAATTTTTGTGTTTCTAGTAGAGATGGGGTTTCGCCGTGTTGGTCAGGTTGATCTTGAATGCCAGCCTGAAGTGATTCGGTCAACTCGGCCTCCCGAAGTGCTGGGTTTACAGGCATGAGCCACCTCACCCAGCCACAAGTTACATATTAATGTGCGTGAGTATTTGGTAAATTCTGGAAAAAGAGTTCACAAAAGGGAAATATTTTCTGCCTGGTTTTGGATTACAGTGGAAGCTAAACAAGTGAGTAACTTAACTCAGATTATCTTAATGTTTGGTAAAGTAATGGAATGTTTAGATAAAGACATCAGTGATAGTGTTTTATTCCCTTTATAAACTGTTCTATTTTAAAATATGAAATCAAGTTTAATGTCTTAACAGCAAAAGATTCAAAAGCATTTACAAATCTGTCACCTTTTCCTGTTTTTTGTCTCTGTCTCTGACTTGGTTCAGGGAGGACATTCTGTTGTCATTCTTAGCACATCCCTTCCACAGAGACTGGTGCTTCTGCAGGAAGTCTTGTACAACTGCTGTGCTAGTCGAAAAAGGTTATAATTTTGCTTAGAGATTGCAGTAGAATTTCCCCTCCCCTCCTCTCCCCTCCCTTCCCCACCCTTCCCCTTTCCTCCCCTTCCCCTTTCCTCCCCTTTCTTTTCTCTCCTTTTTTCTTTTTTTTTTTTTT